CAGACATGGTGTCTGTGTGTGTCTGTAGCATGAATTTCCCTGATCTTTTCAGTAAACTGGGATGTGTTTCTGGACAGCTCTTTAGGTTTTTAGTTGGTGCCTGATTTGTCAGGAGAGTGAGGAAACTCCAGCAGTTCTACAGTTGCTTTAGCCTCAGCACTGAAGGGAGTTGATATTTGAAATAAATTTAAAATAAAAAGTGTGCAGCTCTCTAGCCAATGCAGTTCAGAACGAAGGAGTTCCAGGTACAATTATGTTGCTTCAGTGCTGCAGTTTGTGTAGAAATAAGATTGAGAAATTAAATGACTTGTATTTATTAAGTGTGAAACTTCCCTCCCTCACCTCATGTTCATGCTCTTGTAACCCAAATCTGCTCTGCTGCTTCTAAGCAGAAGCACAGGCTTAACTTCAGCTCTTTAGTTCTCAGTCATTCTGTTCTGCCTTGTTTTAATCTTCTGAGGAAGATTAAAATATGTTTTTACCAACAAGAATATCCCCAACCCTCAGAATTCCTGGGAGACATCATTAGCTATGAATCTGTCCTGTCAGATCTGTACTTCTGTCACAGGAGGAGTATAAACTGGGTGATTACAGACTTGGTTATTGGCCAGGAGGGGAGAAGGCTCTGCATTTTAGAGAAAGGGAAAAAATGCTGTTGGTACTGGACCATTTCTCTCCAAGACTGGGAGCTGTGTCTGCTTGGAGGGGAAGGGGAGAGGATATAATGGCTGGAAGATGTGACACAAGTCTTCTCACTGGCAAAATGCAACTTCCTTCCACTCTGAATTAGTTTAAAGAGCACTCGGGTGAAAAGGTTTCTGTCAGAGATGTCCCTAAAAGCAGAGGTGTGGTGAGAGGGCAGCACAGAAGGCTCAGCTCTGGTGGGGACAGGTGCCAAAGCTGGACAAGGGGGGATGAACACCACAGCCAAAGGGGAACTGCTCGTGACGCTGCACCCAAGTGCAGTTTTCACTGCTGGCACTGATTCCAGCATCAATTCCCACAGTATTTCATCCTGGTTTCACCCAGGCAGGGGCTGTGTTCCTAGGCAGGAGGTGCTGGTGAGCAGGAGCAGCTCGTGATGCTGCACCCAAGTGCAGTTTTCACTGCTGGCACTGATTCCAGCATCAATTCCCACAGTATTTCATCCTGGTGTCACCCAGGCAGGGGCTGTGTTCCTAGGCAGGAGGTGCTGGTGAGCAGGAGCAGAGGGGAGCAGTGTGAGGGCTCCAGGAGCACTGGACAGCATTCCTGGTTCAGACTGAGGAGTTACCTGCCCTGGAGGGGTGGGAAGGGCTCAGCCAGAGCTCAGAATTCTTCTCAGAATCCTTCTTTCTGGCTCTTTGTGTCCAGGAGCTGTGGGCTGGGGTTTATCTGACAGATTTTTGGAGAGGGAGTTTTTTTCCTCCTATGAAGAGCCTAGGAATAAAACTTGAAAATAGTTGGTGCTGGATATGTGCTATAAAGGATGAAACACTATTATAAAAAAAAAAAAAAAAGAAGCCAGGAATGACCTGTTGCATTTCCTTTTAGTTTACATTGCAAGGTTTATTCTCCTGAAATGAATCTTTGTCGTGTCCTTTTCTCTGGAATGACAGAGAGCTGTGTTCCAGCTGTGCTCCAGCTTCCTCTCTGCTGCCGATGTGCATGAGCCTCTTGCTGGTGCTGTGCAGCTGTGGGGTGTTCAGCTGCTGTTGGTAGCAGAGGGAAGTGTCTGAATCTGACCGGAGGGGTGAGGTATCTTCACCTGGAAGCAAACACCGGGAAGGGGCTTTGGCTGCAGGAGGCTGAGCTGGGGCTGAGGGGCAGCCGTGGCTGCACGAGGGCAAAGGCTCTCCCCAAGGAAACCTCTGGGATCAGGGATCGGTTGCTGCCCTGGGCACAGCGGGCGGAGAGCCAGGAAGCTCCGCTGCAGTTCTGGGACGCTCCTTTCCCGGGATAAGCGCGGATGGGGTTCGCAGTTCGGGAAGCGCTCCGCGTCCCCTCGTGGCCGGCTCTGACTGTCCCTTGTGTGTTCTTGCAGGCACCCAGGGCGTGGCCCCGCCGCCGCCCACGCCCGTGGTGGGGCTGCAGACTCCGTCCACGGGGCTGCTGGGCGCCCGGCCCGGGCTGATCCCGCTGCAGCGCCCGCCGGGAATGCCGCCGCCGCCGCCGCTGCCGCGCTTCCCCATGATGCCGCCGCGCCACGTGCCGCCGCACATGATGCACCGAGGGCCCCCGCCGGGCCCCGGCGGCTTCGGGATGCCTCCCCCGCACGGAATGAAAACCCCCTTCCCTCCGCCCGGCCACTTCGTGCGGCCTGCGGGCGGCGGCGGGCCCGAGGAGAACAGGGACGGGCGGCAGTTCAGGAACGACAGGCAGTTCACGCCCAACAGAGACCAGGAGCGGTTCGGGAGGAGATCCTTCGGGAACCGGGCGGACAACGAGCGGGAGCGCTACGGTGGCCGCGACGAGCGGGAGCACGAGCGGCCGGGCGGCCGCGACAGGCGAGACTGGGGACGCCGCAGCCCCGAGCGCGACAGGCACAGGGACTCGGAGGACAGGAGCAGGCGCTCCAGCGGCCACCGAGACAGGGAGAGGGATTCCAGGGATCGGGAGTCTCGCAGAGACAAGGAAGAAAGCCGCGGCAAGGAGAAGCCGGAGGCGACGGACGGGGCGGAGGGTGACAAAAACCACGAGTCCCACGGCGGCAAAACGGAGGGCGCGGAACTCGTTTCAGAACTCGCTGCGGGAGACGCCGAACCCGCGGGCGCCAAAGCCGCGCCGGAGCCGGCGCCCGAGGCTACCTCATCCCTGGAACGGGCGGACAAGGACACGGGCTCGGCGGCGGAGGCGCCGCGCTAGGAGCCCGGCCCGGAGCGTCGAGCTTTAGCTGTACAGTGCTGTAAATCCGCTTCCGCCCCCGACGCGGGGCACCGTGAGCAATTTGATTGCTTCCCTTCTATTTAAAATAGCCACAACATAACGTAAAATACTGAAGAGATGATTAAAATATTACCCATTTTTGCTGTAACTTTTTTAAAGTTTTGACTTTAAAAAGTTTACGAATCAGAAGTAGAAGTGCTTTCTATTTTTTTTTTAATTTAAGAAAAGGTAACGGTGAAAGCTCCTCAAAACAATAGGGATGTGTTTTTAATAAACTCTATTTTCGTAACAAACTTTTAACGTGTGCTATTCTTCCTACGCTGCACTGAAGTGGAAAAGGAGTGTTCAGCAGCCTAAAGTTGGAACTGTTAATGCTGTACTGGAGTCTAAATTAGACTGGTTTGGTTCTGTTTGTTCAAGGAAATCCATCTGTTTGTGTAGCGATTCACAGGAGTGAATTTTTATTTGTAACAGTCCTCTGGAGTTTTAGATTGCTGCATTTTAATGAGCTACGTGACCACCCCGGGTAAAAGTTAGTTTTAAGATGTTAATTGCAGAGTTAACTGTTTTAGTGTTTGCAATGCAATCCATTCTTTGCTTTATTTTTTTTTTTCCTCCCCCCCCTCAATTGGTTCTGTGGTTCCTGTTGCCTTTAATTTGCCTTTTTTTAAGAAGTGACACCTTGAGGCACCGACCATCCGCTCTGAGGTTACAAAGTGCGTGCCAGGCCGACAGTGCCCGCTCCTCTTTTGCACTGCTTGGAAGTGACACCTCAGAGGCACCACAATTCCAGCCTGGCTCTCCAGGCGGGCTGGGACAAGGACTTGGCCCTTCCTCCATGGACACAGGGCTGCTCCTGCGGGAACGCCGGCCCCTCCTCACCCTGCCAGAGGTAGGTTGTGCTCCCCTGCGCTGGGGACAGAGGGTGTTCCTGGTGTTCCTGGGTGTTGTGGCACCTCCTCTGCAGAGCACTTCCGTGTCCTGGCAGCTGTAGTTCTCCGCGGCCGATCCCTGGGGCAGGGACACTTTGGGAATTTGTGCCCACCCCAGGTGGCTCGGCCGTGGCTCGGAGCTCCCATAAGCCCAGCGGGGCCAGTGTATGAATCCTGCGCGTATTCAATGGTTTCTTTTCTCCTTGCTATGGGTGTGTTCTACCTTTAAAGCTGGGGATTCTGCCCCAGGGGAAGGGCGGCTGCTTCCTTACATCAGTCCTTTTTCACAGCTGCCCTGCGGCAGAGGGAATTGTCTCTGGGGGAGGGAGAGGGTGGGAGAGCCGCTGTGGAGCTCTGGACTGGGGAGAGGACATCTATTTTTATGTTCTTGCAATAGCAGAATAAAGAGAGAAAGAACCTGTTTACAGATTGTAGTGACCTCAACTTCCATGTGTTAAAATTCGTGTCCTCACTGGTTGTTTCCTGCTGGGCCTGCGGGACATGGCCTTGTCCCACACATCGAGGTTTGAGCCTTGGAAAAAGCTGCCCCAGCTCTGTAAGGAGGAAGGGTTTGTTTCACTGAGAACACCTCCTTAAAGAGCTGGAGACAATGAGACACAAGGCTGCTCTGCTCTTGCAAATCCCACCCCTGTTCTCTGCCTCAGTAGCATCTGAAAGCAGAGCCTGGAAAACTGGAATAACTCTTTGCCACCTTCTGCAGCAGTGCCTGTGCATAACCCTCACAGCAGCAGCAGCAGCACCAACCCTCTGGAAGAGGCACAGGGAGGTGAAGACTCACACAGTGCTCTGGCAGCAACAGGGAACGTAAGTTCAAAGTATTTTTACAGTATTCCTGCTCTACTACCCAGTTCCCTTAGTACTGTGCCTCAGTGGAGTGGGGTTACCTCAAACTACAGCCTGCTCCTTCCATGAATATCCTCAAGTGCAGAAGACAGGAACATTGATACAAGTCCTCATTAAAATGACTCATTTTCTCTGTGAAGAGAGACCCTGAAATCTGCTTCAGGACACACCAGAACGGGATGGAGGCTGGCACTGGCACACAGTGGGCATTCCTGGGATACTGCCTGGAACCTCCTGCTGGATGGGATTTACCCCCACACCTGCTGAAGGCCCGGCCCCCTTTCCCAGCAGGGGCAGGTTTGGGGTGCTTCCCTGTTCACAGACAGCCAGACCCAGGTGTATCTGCCCAGAACATTTATTACACAGGTTTGAAGCCTACAGATGCTGCCCCTGCCCCAGGAGGAAGCCCTGACACACCCAGGGGCTGCTGCTCTTTGCCAGAGCGTGGGGGGCTCCTCCAGGAGCCGGGACAGGAGCACTACTCACATCTTCCCTCACAAGCAGGGATGTGACACGGAACAGCGGCAGCAGGAGCGCGAGCAGAGACCACAGAGGCATTCCATCAGGGACACTTTAATTGAACGTACATCGTACAAAACTCGGTCAGTCTCCACGTGTGAGCGCCGCTCGGGATGCAGAGGAGCAGGAGATTAATGACACATCTTGAACTTGCAGGAGGAAGGGCAGGAGCAGCAAGGAGGAGCACAGCAGGTAGCACGCTTAGCTCTTGGCGATCCCGATCACCCCGCAGGCCAGGCGGGGCCCTGCGTTCCCAGTTTGCAGGCTCTCGTCATTGCCCCCTTTGCCCAGGTCATCCCGCTTCTCGTGCACCTGCAAGAGAATTGAAGAGACCTTCACTGCTCCGCTCAGCACTGCTCCTGGCAGCAGCACCAGGCCAGTGACACAGTGATCTCCAAACTCATCTCCACGCTGGAAACTTCCAACTGGAGCTGCCCAAGGGCGATGCAGGCACCCACAGCGGGAAGGGGCAGAGTCAGAGGGACATCTCCAGGAGGCTGGCATGGAACTGGGGTCCGTGGCAGTCGAGTGCCACACTAGGACACAGAGGGGTGGCTGCAAATCTCCCTCCCTGCCCTGAGGTTTCCCTCTCACTCACCACCATGGTGCGGCCGATGATGCAGTGAGGTCCCGAGAGGGAAATGACGGAATCCTGGATGGACACCTCGGCCACGCCTCCTTTGGCAACCACGTTGCCCAGGTCTCCCACGTGCCTGCACGAACACACGGGAAACTCACAAAGCGGCCTGCACTGAAGGCTCTCCCAAGGGAAGGCTGAGAGTTTATGTTACAACGTAACAAAGGCTCCCAAATCCAGCGGAGCAACCTTTCCTGCAGATTTGGTGGAACACTGCCGCTGTTCTCTGAGCTTGTGCTGTCCATGACAGCTCAGCTATTCCACAGGCAGCTGCAGGATTTTGGTTTAAGGAGGATTAGGAGGAGCGGTTTGTCAGGCAGCAGGTCAAAGGGAATGCAGGAGCTGCTCACTTCCAGCCAGGAGCAGGGATGATTATTCCAGTTTGGCATTGCCCCATCACTTGGCATACTGCTCTGCCACACAGCTTCTATCAGAGCTGCATCTCTGCTAAGGCTTCCCTGGAGAGCTGAGCCTCCAGCAGTGCCATTTTCACAGGACTTCTGGACATGTGTCCTGCACACCTGCCCCAAGCACAGCATTCTCTCAAAACACGGCTGATCCTGTTCTGTCAGGCTCCTCTGTCCAGATCCAGAACCTGGAATACTGACACATCCCTGCCAGGCGACCAGCTCAGCCAGCCCAGGGCTGACAACCAGCTTTCCACAAAAATTCCTTACTTTTAACCAACTCCTACAAAACTAGGTTAATGGCAGCTCTCCCCTGAGGAATCTGCTCGATTTAAGCTTCCAGGAAGCTTCAGTCCAGTTGCTCCTGTACACTGATAAAAGCAAGATCCACTCCTTGCACCCATCCTAAGGAACTCCCCTGCCCACACAGCAGCAGCAGGATCTGCCAAGGCTCCAAAGCCCTGGTGTCCGTGCAATCCCAACCTTTAGCCCCGAGCAGTGGCTGCCGGGGCCCCGACACACATTTCATGCTGTGTCATGCAGGAGCTGGCCCACATCCAGCTCTGCCCGGCCTGTGCCTCAGGTGGGGCTCACCGTGAGCATTCCAAGGGTGATCCCGATGCCAGGCTGGTCCTGTGCCAGGCCAGGCTGCCCAAGCCCCGCTCCCCAAACCCAGGCACGGCCACACCACTTCCTCTGGCAGCCACCCAAGGGAACTGGGCCGTGAGAGCTGCTCCCAGGGAAGAGCCAGGTCTCACATCCCACTCCAGTACAGATACCCAGCAGGAGCATCAGGCCCTCGCTGTCCCCTCCACCCAAGCCGTGACAAAACCACAAAATGCCCTCAGGAGAGTATTTCACAGAGAAACAAGCTGCTCTGGGGGTTACCATAGAGTGGCTAAGTGACCTCAGGAACCTTGAAGGAATTCCCAGGGATTTTCTGGCACATCCTGAGCCCCGGCAGTGGCAGTGCCCGTGCCCTGGACTCACCTCTCGGCGTCGCTGGGACCCCCGTGGTTCTTCTTCTGCGGGTTGAAGTGGGGGCCAGCACTGGTGCACCCTGGAACACAGCACAGCGTCAGAGCAGGATCCCAGGACAAAGCTGCTGCTCCCACACCGCTCCCAGCGACAGCAAGCAGCTCCTCTCCCGTGCCAGCCCTGCTAATCCCCTGGAGATAAATCACCTGCTACAGCCTTACAAGTCCCAGGCTCAGCCAGGAGCTTTCTTATTTCATAACGCTGAGTTATCCAAGCGTTCAGGTGAGTGCTTGGTATGTCAGCTCTTGACCACCAGCCTCAACACGCTCGAGTATTATCCAGGAAGCAATTCCTCGGGAACGGTCACGATTTCCTCACACAGATTTGCAGCAGTGAGACCCAGGCTGCCGCTGCAACACCGCGAGCAGCTCTCCAGAGCCGAGCCGAGCCGAGCCGAGCCGCCACCGTGCAGCGACCCCAGGGCCCGCAGGGACATCTTACCATTGGTGTTGTCCCCGAACTCATGGACGTGGAAGCCGTGCTCTCCATCGGCCAATCCAGTGATTTTCCCAGTCACTTTCACCGGTCCGGTACCCTTCAAAGGAGAGCATTTATCAGCACCAGGACTCTGCCGCCACAGGGCTCCGTGTCAAACGAATGTGACAGAAAGGCCCCGCCACGAGCCCGCGGCAGCGCTGTCCAGAGCCTCTGCGTCCGTTTAACGCGCTCCAACACACTCCTTCCCCTCTTTTATCCCTAAGCGCAAGGAGCACCTGTTCTCTGACCGGGCCTTCCAGAAAGATCCCGTACTTTCCCAGAGCGGCGCGAGTGACCCCGCGGCTCCCAGGCCGGCCGCAAGGGACGGCGCAGCCCCCGAGGGCCGCGGCCATTTGGAACCGCAGCGCCCTCGAGCCGAGCTAGCCCCGCCGGCCGCGGGGAGGGGGCTGAAGAGGCACCTCCCGGGGGCTCCGCACCCGCCGGGGAGCTCTCAGCGGCCCGGCCGTGCCCTCACCTGCTGCTCGAAGTGGATGACGCCCTCCACAGCCCCCTCGCCCCGCATCACGCACACGGCCCGCATTGCCGCCATCTTGTGCCCGCCCCGCCCGCAGCGCCCGCGGACTGAGGGCAAGCCCCGCCCTCGCTACCGTTATATAGGGCGGGCGGCCGGCGCCGCGGCCAATCGCGCCGCGCGCCCCGCGCCGCGGCGCGCGCGGCGGCGGGAGGCGCCCTCTGGCGGCGGGAGGCGCATAACGGGGACCGGGATCGGGATAGGGATCGGGATAGGGATAGGGATAGGGACAGGGATAGGGACAGGGACAGGGATAGGGATAGGGATAGGGATAGGGACCGGGATAGAGATCGGGATCGGGACCAGGACCGGGCTCGGGAGGTTGGGCAGGTTTGGTTGTGTTTTGTCCCGCATACTTCTTTTTAACTCCTTTATTTTCTTAAATCTCGCCAAGAAGAGATTAAAAAATGAAAAAAAAAAATCTTACTTTCTTAAAGTAGGTGAGAAAATCCACCCCCTCAGTGCAGCTGATTTTGACAGCACAAAAATCATCGTTTGACCCTGCCCCATCAAATGGTGACGTGACTGTGGTGTTATTCGGAGTATTGGAGCTGAGAGGAGAGGAGAGAAAGCGTCTTGGTTCTCTCCCAATCTGCCCGTTTAAAGGATTAAATGACTTCTGTGTGGTGCCGGTTAACAGCAACCCAAACTGCGTCCAAAAAAGTTAATTAACCGCTCAGCAAAATGTGACAAAGTAGCAAAAAATCCCTTAGGTCCTGCAAAAAGCCCTTGAGGGAGCAATTCCTCAGCGAGATTTTATAGGAGTTAAAAAATAAGAGGGAATTTTGAGAGTTGTGTTTCGGGTGGCAACCATGCATGCGGTGCAAATAAATCCCAATTCCTGCCTGTGGCGATCCTGTGGGAAAAGCACGGAGCTGGGATGTCCATCTCCCTGCGGGAGCTGCGTGCCAGGAACGATTCCCCCTGGGTTGGTAACGCCACTCCTGCCCGGGGGATGCTGCCAGAGCGCATCCACTGAAACTCCCAGCCGAAATGTGCCGTGCAAACGATTCTTTCCCTAAAAACTGGCGGAAATCCCGCCGCTGGGACGAGGGGAGGTGCTGCTGCCAGCCAGAGGGTGCGGGTAATGAGAGGAGCGCCGGCAGGAGAGCCTTTGCGAGATTAAAATCCGCATGCACAGGCGGCCGAGCTGGGTTTGTCCTTGTGCTGCTCACCCTGGGCTGCTCCCCGGGCTGGGCAGAACTCAAACGTGAAATTCAGGGAGAGGCTGTGCCAGCGTGCCTTGGGAACTTTGTCCCCGCGCCTCCCTGCCAAGGTCTGTGGTTATTTGTAATATTCCTGCTGCTTTTGCCAGCTCGCATTCGCCAGGTGCTTCAAGGATCCCACACAGCACCAAAGCCTGGAATCCTTCCCCTCTGGAAACAGCCTGCAGGGCACAGAGCCGGGAAAGCCGGGATGGAGGGAAATAGGGATTCTGGAGCTGCTGCACAGAGGGATGAGCGCGCACAAACTGAAACTCAGCTGGAGTTTAAAATGGTTTCTAAGTTAGACCTTGGAAATCTCCCCTCTGGAACTGGCCAAAGACAGAATACTGTCCAGAAAACACATCTGAAAAATGTTTGGGTTTTTTTTTTTTTTTTTTTTTTTTTTTTATGAGAGTCTCTCAAAGTGTTTACACTCTCAGGAATGTTATTTTGGCCACCTAAAGGAAAGCAACCAAAACACTGCGTGTCTGTGTATAAACATAGAGATGTATTTATGGGATGTGTATTTCAGGATATCAGCTTGGATAAACGTCAACAAAGTCCAGAGAAGCCCTGTACCTTGTCGTGCTTTATGAGTGGATAAGGATTTCATGCACAGGGATGAGAAAGAGAAGCTTGGTCTCAGATTTTATTGCCAGGTTTTTATTTGTGGAAGTTCTTACATGGTAACTAAACTGAACCAAAAACTTTGCAAATCCCAGCCCAGGTGAGCGTGTGCCAGAGGGAAGGCACAGGGGGCTTCATTTGGGATTTATTCCAGACACAAAGTGCCCTGCACTCTCATTTTTGCCACATGCACAGTCTAGTGGTGCAGCAGGTGTCAGAGTGAGGTGCCTTGGATTTAACTCAGCCCTGTTGGGTAATCCTTGAGATGCAAAGTGCAAAACCACAGGGAAAATGCTAATTATTGCGCAATTAGGAAAGAAATGCTGCCACAGGGTAAACTACCCTGTTTCTGCAGGAAAGCAGGCAGGACAAACAGAATATAACAGGCAGGCGTCCAGAATAACAAAGATGTGGTTTTATTTGGAGTTTTAAACACGTGCTGTCTTCTCTGGAGCTCTGGATGGTCGGGGACCACGCTGGGTTTGTAGAGCTGTCAGCAAAATGAGGCTTTTGGGTGCTGCTTTAATACAAGCAGTTAATAAGTGGGAATGCAGCCGGAAAATGCACCAGCCACGAATTTTCTTACAGCTTCCACGGCACCGTGGAGCAGTTATTCATTCATATTCACGTGCCCTGCAGCTGTGTGGAAGTTTCTCTGCAGTCTCCAGCCGTGCCAAGGGGCCCAAGGGCGCTGCAGGAGGCAGCCTGCAGACTTTGCACCCCCGTGCCCAGGGGAAGCCACCATCCCTGCGGGCTCCTGGGGCTGGGACACCTTCCCAAAATGTGCTCACAGCCCCTCTGTGTGCCTGCAGGGCCAGGGACCAGGCTGGGGGGCTGGGACACCTTCCCAAAAGGTGTCCCAGGTGTTTAGGTGGCCAAAATAACATTCCAGCTTTGATGTGATACCCAGAGC